GCGTATCTCTATAAAAGTCCCTTTATTTTTCTTAACCCTAGTTTATAGATCTCGCTTCTACAATCTTGCATCTCCTCTTTCAAAAAGAAAAAAATATATCATTACATATCCCCTTCATACTCAAAAGACTGATCTGATAGAGCATTCAACCGGAGGGAAGCCAGAAGAAGATTCTTGTCTGGCTTCTCTTCTTTATTGTTCAAGCTCTAATAAATCATTAAATGGCAGAATCCTAAATAAGCCACTAAAGGATGAGAACAATATAGATATATATATATATATGCTTGTTGCAATCTGTATATATATATTTTTTTGGTGCTTATTCTCAGATTCATTATCATCCATCATATGTTTTTTTTCCTTCAATTTTATTTTGTCTCTATTTTGCTTCTATTGTGGGTGTATATACAGGTAATATATGTGTATATATATAATATGTGATTTACTTAATAATTGTTATGAAAAAAATCTCCAGGCTAAGCATAATAAAAGACGGACGATTACTGCCAACAAAATAAAGAAAATAAAATTCCTTTTTTATTTTTTTTTTCACCTCAAAATTGAATTGAGAAAAAGTGAACTTAAATGGAAAGCGTTGGTTTTATTTATTTATTTTTGGGTAAGTAAAGCGCTGTTTTTAGTTTCCTTCCATTTTTTAATTTATCAAAACACTATAGAAGAAAACAATTACAAAATAAGTTAAATATATATTATGTTGAAAAAAAATAAGGAAAGAAAAATAATTAAATAATTGACCTTAGGAATAATGTCTTTAGAGTAGAATTAATTTTGTTATTTAAATCATTTTATAAGCATCAACATGTGAATAAATTACTTGGTAAAAATAGTTTACATGGTACAAAATAACTTAATTTTGTTATTTAGACCATTGTTTTGGACTTGTTTTATTGGTTTACATGGTAAAAATGCTCATTTGATTGATTTTTTAATGGCATATTGAAACACTGTTACTAAATTTCTTAAAACGCAAAATAATTTTTGCAATTTTATTATTATTATTATTATGGCTTGTTATAGATAAATTTGATCAAATTGAATGAAGGACAAAATAGTTATGTTTGTAATAAAAGAGTTTTAGTAAACTTTTTGTCAAATAAATAAAAAAAACTCTTACAGTATTAAAAGCTCTTTTACAATACAGTTTTTAAATGCTAACACATAAGTCAAATAGAAGTGACGACTTGTATTTCTCTTTTTCTTTAGTGTAAAAACAGAAATAAAAGCTATGTCAAACTATCCAAAGTACCGTTTTCAGCTTCCATAGTTATAAACCAAGTTGGCTAACAGAATTGCGGAACCCTAAAACCCTAATTGAAGGCCGAACCTTTCATCTTTCTGCACGTGGATAGGTGATTCATTTTGAAATTCTTCTTCCAATTAACTGCAATTAATACTTTATCACTTGCTAGTTAAGAATAAGCCTTTGACTTTTGCGGAATTTACTGACATGTGCCATCAACTTTGTAAACGAAATTTTTGGGGTGGGGGGTAACACGTACTTTGCTAATTGGGTTTAACTGCTCTCAAAATTTATAAAATATAACAATAACTTTCATAAAAACTATAAAGATAAAAATTATTTTAAAGAAAAAGATACTTAAATAATAAACAAAAATAAAATGGACCGTTAAAACTAAAGAAGTAATTAATGAGATCTATTGATATCAATGAGAAAAAAAAAGTAAATTGCTAAATTCTGTGTGAATATCATTTCTGTAAATACTACTAAGAGTATTTTATTCCTAGGTTTTTTCAAAGTTTTATTATTTATTATAAAGGTCTCAGTTATAAGTTTTCTAACTAATCGTTCAATCATCATGTGTGATTTGTATGTTATGTATGGTTTGATTGTGCCTTGAGGCATATTAGTTGAACTAGATTATTCTTTTTCACCAATTCAAACCCCTTCTCGAATTGTACGAGCGAGTTTCTTTCTCTATATATTAAAAGTCTTTCTAAACTGTACTAACGAACTTTTTTCTCTAAATACAAAAAGTATTTCATTCATAATTTATTTATTATTTATTTATTATTATTATTGTAAACACAAATTTTGTATCTGTAAAATAAAGAACAAAATAGGGGCAAAATAATATTTTATTAATTTATAAAAACTTGGAGTACAATTCTTTGTAATAATATTCTTTACAGAGAATAAGGTCCTCTGATTCGATCTCCTTTGTTGGTTGGTTGGTTGGATCCAAGGGCTTTGTTGGTTGGTTGGTTAGATCCATGGGCTGCACGAGCTTGATCTTGAATCACCGTGGAATTTGATGAAAAACGACATGATTTGATGTGCTTGTTGTTGATCCACCGTGGAATTTGAATGAAAAACTGCACTATTTGATGTGCTTGGTGTTCTTCTTCTTTTGAATTTATGGACTTTGAATTTGTCTCTGAATTTCTGAGTCTCTGGATTTCTGAACTTCTGAATTTTGAATTTGTGTACCTCCTCCTTCTTCCTCCAGGATTCTTGGATCCATAGGATGATGACACGTGTCATCGCCTGATAAGAATAAAATCATAAGTGGGTCGGGCCGGATATATTATGATAATTTTCCTTAAAGACGAATATTCCAAATATATTTTATTAGGAATAATTATCCTTTTATTTAACCATATGGGCTGGACTAATTAAATAATTTAAGTGGACCAAGCTTGGGCCAATTAAATAACTTAGTTAAACATTGACCCATATTTAATGGGTTAATTTGTTAAAACTAAAACCTACTAAAATTTTAGTGTCTACAATTATTATTATAGATAGACTCATTTATAAGCTCTTAGTTAAATTAGAACTTGTATCAAGCAATTTCATTTGATATTGGTAGAATGATTATTTTTTTCCAGTTGTGATAGTTCTTATTAGTTAATTCTTTAGTTTTATCTGTCCTTTTTGTTTTAGTTTATATTTAAATATAATTTTTTTTGTAAAAAAATTACTTCACGATTTTTTAAAAAGTTATCATTCTATTTTATTAATCTCGAGTGTAATTAAATTCAATTAAAAAGTTTAAATGTAAACTTACAAAAAATAATAAAGGGAAAAAAAAGAGAAGAAAAATATATATACATATATAATGTCGCTGGGACATTCTTTTACAAAATTAGATATCTTATGTAGTAAATTTAATAAAAGTGAAAGGCTGTTTCTAAACTAACAAAATATACTGCATTAATGGGAGAGAGAAGAATTTCTATTTGAATAAGGTGGAGAAAGAAGAAGTATTATAAAAATGATCATAAAACTGACAAGTAGATCTCAAATCTTAAGTGGGTTAACGCTATTCAACATTTCAAGCCCAAGAAGAGTAATCGGTTAAATAATTTGAAAAGAATTTCACATAAACTATATTTATGATTGATTATTAATTTTATGAAATTGGGGTTGAATAATGGAATAAAAAAATTAATTGAATATCAATCATTTTCAATGAACAAGGTGCATTTTTGGTGATGGTGAATTATTAATTGGGCTAATCTGACAAAAGAGGTGGGTGCCACCCCACGCCACAGAATCTCTGGGGCTGCCAACTGTTGCTAAAGAGGACAAAAGAAGTAGACCCAACTCCCAAAGGAATTGACCGGTAGACCAATGGTCAAAATACCCACACCACTTCCATTCAATTTTTCATTTCATATCATATCATATCAAATGCGACACCTATAACCATCTGTGTTGTATACTCCACTGTGCTACTGTATATACAGTATGTATCTATACACTATATAAACAAAAATAAATAAAGAGGATCTAACGGTCTAGAGAGAAAGAAGACCGACCACCTTCGCACAAGATTCTCTCTCTATTATGAACATCAATATCAATATCAGTATCACCTGACTTACGTCTAATCTGATGGCTTTGCCCTTTGCCAGCTTTCTTTCTTTATTGGAAGCCTCCCAAAATAAACTACTGCAAAAATTGTTTGGCAACAACAACTATTCATCCGACCCACCCCCCACTCACACACATCACATGGTGCTGAGCTGCACCCTCTGCCTAACTTGGCCTGCCCTCATAAGGTAATCCATTCCTTTATTAGGAAAGGAATTCCGTCGCCTAGTTGGAAAAGCTTTCACTCATTTAATCCAGTATTTATATTTCAATGATCTAGTTAGTTCACGTCAGCTCTTAGCTCATCGTCTGAATGTACCCATGTTCAAGTCAATTCTGTAAACGACCGAATTAATCCTAAGGTTCTCTCACCCTAGTTTTTGATGGAGTTTGTTCAGTGTTGTTCAAACTTTCCTCGTTCAATAGTTAATTAAGAATTTAAAATTTGGACATTTTTTGAGGGATAATACTCACCCATAAATAGATTATTTCTACTCTGCGATCTAATCACAACCGTAAACATAATATATGACTATAAAGTAAAAAAAAATGATAAATAAAGATAATAATTTTTTATTAAAATAATTAATTTTTTAATTATAAAATATGTGTGTCAATTCAAATAACCTACCAGTGAGTAAACAAATGTTGGCCTAATTTGGGAAACCAAGGTGAATAATGAGTGGGATTCAACAAGTATCGTCCTTGTTTGAGTGACCAAAGTGAATAATGAGTGGAATTGATCATATGTTACCAAGGTTCAAAAAAAAACTTTCTAAAATGAGTTTTGCATTTCAAATCTCCGTAATGGTTTCCTACAAATGAATATCAAACTTAGTAGATTAATAATGTCAACAAGAAGTGAGACCGGCATCATTTGTCTCACTTGTAAGAACAAATTGATGCAATAAATAGCTTGTCCTATTGTCTTGAAACAACAATGTAATTATAGTAAATCAAGAAATGAACGCCCCGTGCCAATTTTGTGATTCGACATTGGCTAGAAGAGTGAAAAAGGAAACTTCCTAGAACCGTGTCATCCACCTACTCTCTCTATATACAGAATTTCATTTATTATTAACTAGTATAATTTAGTAAAAACTTAATATATATATAGTATATGATAATTAATAGAAATGAGTTTGGGATCAGACTGACGAGCAAATTAAAATACTCAGCAAAGCTGGAGCCTCTGATAATCTGTTTTTATGTTGGCATCATTTCCCAAACTCCAAAAAAAAATTAAAATAAACAATAATTTAAAAAATAAATAAATGTAAAAGCTGATGTGAAAACTGAGCTAACATGTTGGTTGTACAGATAGAATCCAAACCAGCCCAGCCCAATTGATTGTGAAAACACAGCACAGCACAGCAACCACAAACTTTGTCTTTGTCCAATACAAAAAGCACCTCTATAAAGCACAAGAACATATAGAGATAGAGCGATAGAGAGAGATTGATTCCATGTCTTATCTTTTCAATTTCAGGTAAACAAATGAGAATTGAAAACCCCAACAAACAAACCCTAAAAGATCTAACATTGGGTTTTCAGCATTAGGGTTAGCTCCTGCTGCATAACTAACAAGAAAAAAGAAAAAGAAAAAAGAAAAAGTAGACCCGCATATTTACAAAACCATCTAAATCGTCATGTGAGAATGCCTGAACAAAAAGACAAAAAAACGCATAACAGAACTTTCAAAAGCAAAGGACCACTAGTAATGTTAAAAACCTGTTACCAACTCTCTACTATGGATTGCATCAAGTTCGATCCGTGCGGTTCCTGCTATTACTATGTTGATGATTTCTACTTCCTCCTCCTCCGCCGCCGCCGCCGCCGCCAACTTCCCTTTTCTGCGGCGTGGAGAAGAGGGGAAATCCAAAAACACCAGACTTTGATGAACCTCGGAGTGAACAAACCGGAACGTTGAGAACAGGAGTGATCCTAACATTAGCTGAATACGATCTCTCCATTCCTCTATGCTTGAATCTTGGACCTCCATTGAAGCTACTTGGACTGCTTGAGCTCCTCTCCAGACCCTGGAACACAATCTTCCCCGACGAGTTCATGCGTGGGCTATCGACGGACGCGCCTCGGCCGGTGGTGGTAGTCGATTCCGGTGCTCGGCGCAATGGGCTCCGGCCCATTCTCGTCGCCGTCGGATTATCGGACGGTACTGCCCTCGGCTTCACCACTCTTACTCTAGGAGGATTACAGCTAGTGTTTTGAGTCTGGCTCTTTGTGATGAAAATCGGGTTCTGATTTGGATTGTGCTTCTCCGAATCGAGTGATAGCCGAGGAAGGTCGTCGTGCTCGTGACCGGAGGACGACGACGACAGCGATAACCGAGACGAGATCGAAACGGACTCGCTATCGGTGTCCTTGAGCAACGGAAGGCTCAGAGACGAATCGATTGCTGCGTTGGAGGATTTCGAGCTTCGATGAAGAAAGTGCTTTAGGGATTTTGGGGGATTGCTGTGCGACGATGACGTTTTGTGGCTCTCGTGCTTGGCATTCGTGTTCTGGTAGAGCTTCTTCAACCCAAGAAGCTCCTTCCACCGACTTGAACACCTCGGTGCCTTGGGAGAGAACAAGTATGGATCAGTGTTGGAGACGTCTGTTCTCCGTCGAGACTTCGCAGTTTCCGGCGATCTGATCTCCGAGGATCTCACCGGCATCACTGCAGGACGCATCACGGAGAGCTGCAGAGGCACGAGCTTCCCGTCGGAGAATAGCTCGTCGGCGGGGAGCATAGTGACCGGATCTTCGAGCCTGAACTCGAAATCACCTAAGGAAACTTCTGGATCTGATGTCTCCGGTGGATCTACACCCTTTTCAGCTGGACAAGGAGGTTTCGATCCGGCAATCTTCGACGGCTCTCCATCGCCAATTTCTCGGCTGAAAGAGATACGAGGACTCAACCATCCGTACGACGGGTACGTCGCCGGACAGTCCAGGAAATTTTCCGGCGACATTCCGATGTTGTTAACGCAAGCTGAAGCCATCTCTACGATCATGCAACACTTAGAATCTCTGATAAAATCTCCGATCAAGTATGATAAATGCTCAAGCAGTTAGTTGCAAACAAAAAAACCCTACATTCTCCGGAAAATGCCAAGCTATTCGAGATCTAGAGAGAGAAACTTCAGATATGAAAAATCTAGAGAGAGAACAGGCAGAGGGGTGGCGTGGAGATATTCCCGCTTAGCTAGGGTTTGCAAATGCTTTGTTTTGTAGCGTAGTGGAGTGTGTGCGCTCTTAGTAGTACAGTGAAGGTTGCATATATAAACATATACGTATACATATGTATGTAAATGTTCACATACATATATATATACACTATATACGTAACTAAGTGTATGACACATTGGTCTTATCCAATAGTGGCCCATTGAAGGGCAGTTCATGGGCTAAATTATTCATGTGTAGGGTTGATTTTGTTTAGTTATTAGGGGATATGTAGGGTTACCCTGGAATTATATTGGGTTTCATGTAATGTTGGAAGATAGACCCACCAAACATTTATTTTTGGGCCATGAAAAGATCAAATTTTCCGTAAAATAAGAACATTTGGTCCTTAAAAAGTCCACCTCTTTATTCATGGCTCTTTGATTACACTGTGTGAGGTAGGTTTACATGTCTGATTGTCTGAATGAGTACTAATTTAACTTCTATTTTATTTTCAGACAATCTGATTGTCTTTATGTATATTGTTTGATTGTTTGATCAGATCTTAAGTTTGGTAATATTAAAAAGCATCTGAGATTTAAAATCAAATAAAAATTAGATTAAAGCTTTTTAAAAAGATTTGTTGAAGTTTGAATTTAATTTTTTCGCATATTCCCGAAAGAAATTTTACTTTAATATGCTCGACTTTTGATTGATGGATGGTTAAAAAAAAAAAATTAAATACAGGCAATAAGCCTATGTTGACCAATTGATGGAAAAAAAAGCTTATGTCGACCAACCGTCAATTCTCTTCAACTTGCGTAATATAATGATCATTTACAATAGAAATGCCGCCATTCTTGATGACGATAATTGGAATCCATTGATGATAAACCAAATCTCTACAATCTATATATACTCAACCAACTAGATCCTAAAGAGGACCATAAATATGAGAGCGAGTCATTAAATGAGGTATGGAAAAATCTTCCTTTTTTCCTCTTAACCTCGCTAACTAGATTGTGAGAGGGTCTTCGATCGATACCAACTGAAGTGACTGCCATCATTGTTTTGAAACCCCCAACAACATCCACGAGAATATATGTAACGGGTGGGCGCTTGCCCATTTATCTAAAAACTCGAACTGTTAGGTAAGGCTGCATACCCACCCATTTATACCTAATCTTTTTCCCATCCGATTCCGATGTGGGACAAAATGACCCTTGTTACATTCTCCCCCACCCAAACTCGCAACGCCCTCGTTGCGGTTGGGCCACCTTGCCTACCCGGGATGACTCACCCGGACGCCTTCCGGACCGGGCGCTTGGCGTGGCACCGGATCAAGGACTGGGTCTGGCTCTGATACCAACTGTAACGGGTGGGCGCTTGCCCATTTACCCAAAAGGTCGAATTGTTAGGTAAGGCTGCATACCCACCCATTTATACCCAATCTCTTTCCCATCCGATTCCGATGTGGGACAAAATGACCCTTGTTACAATATACCAGTAAGGGCTCCAACTTCAATGATACTTTATTGTCTTCAAAAATAGAACATTACAAAATAAAATGGTTAGAGTTCAAATTCAAGCAAAATGGATATGTGAGTTTCTTGCCAATTTAAAAATAAAACATATTTATAAGAGTGTAGCTTGGGCGGGCTAATCCAAACCCAACCCAAAATGAGTCCAGCCCGTTTTTTCATAGGCTTCGGTAACAATGTTTTCAACTAAGGCTTTGTTCGAGTTGAAAAATATCAACTCGAACTTAATTAGGGTTACGTTTGTCAACTATTTTTACAATTAAGGTTATACCTGAATTAAAAATAACAACTTGAACTTAATTAAGGTTAGGCTTCGGTTGAGGTACCAGTAACCCAAGCCCAAACTGAACCTGAACCCAAACCCGAATTCTAATATTATTTTTATATATATTTACTATAATATTTAAATCATTTAACCTTTTTTTTCAACTTCCTTTTTAAAATCTTAATTTATTTCATGTTAACATTTTAGAATTAGTTTTCTTATAATTTGTTTGTAATTTTTAAAAATTTGCATTAAAAAAAAAAAAGAAAAAGAAAAAATTGTTATTAGGGGTAATCTAATACAAAACTAACCCAAGATTACATTAGTCGAGATTGACTTGACTTTTGAACTCGAAACCTTCTAAGTTAAACAATTTAAGTATGAGTTAAATTTGGAATGAGTAGTTACTAGACTATGATTAAACATTTTATATATTGGGTCGGCGGTACAACTCGAGTTGTATAGTTTTTATGACTAATTTACTAAATGTCCGTAATGTGTGACAAAATGACTTTGTTTGTTTGAGTGTATAATAGTTTTTGAGAAATATTTTTTTGTGTTTTTTGATCTTTGTTTGTCGTAAAATATTTGGGAAGAAAAAAAAAATTAAATCATAAAAATAAAAATTTTACCTAAAAAAATATATAGTATATGAGAAAAATATTTTACCTGAGCCTATATGTTAAATCCTTTCCATTCTGATTTTAAATGCTAGACAGCAAAAAAAAAAAAAAAAAAAAAAAAGGACGGCATGATAAAGGCTACAGATTTCAATTCCTGAGTTTGAGTGAATAATTACAAATACTCTAAATTTTAATTTACATAGCTTAATGGAATCTTTTTTAAGGTGAGAGGTGAGAGTTGAGTATGACATGAAAAATTAAAATAAAAATATCAAGTGACATGAAAATCACTGGAAAGTTCAAAGTAATGTTAATAGAATATTTAAATTATTTTAACTCTTTTTTTGCGTATTTGGAGGATTGGTAGTGAAAATTCTTGTATTTGGATGTTTCAATGATTGGTAATGAAAATTCTTGTATTTGGATGTTTCATTTAAATTATAGTATTTGGTAGCATGGACAACATTTTGTTTGTTTGGAATGGTTGTGTAGAATTATAAAATGTTAGGAAATATCAAATCAGTGTTTTGAATATAAGATTTAAAATTTTAATTAAATTTCTTTTAATCTAAATTCAAGTCACATCTACTGCAAACCTTGGGTAGGAGAAGAGAAGGCTTTTCGGGTCAAGTCGTCAGTCTTCACACAAAAAGAAAGAAGAGGGTAGGCCTAAAACCTTGACGACTTGACTGCATCGAGAAGGAAATCTCATGATCAATTGGTTATGTCTTTGCTTCTTAACTCGATGGAATCAAACATTACTTTTTCTCCTGAAGTGCTAGGGATCTTTGAGAATCTGTTAAGGTTGTGTGGTCACCAAAATCATGCCTCTTGGCCAATCAACCTTAAGAGGCCCAATATGTGTTTCACGTGCATATAATAACATACCCGGAGGCTTTAATGCTTGTTGGGTTTGGAATGAAGCATCAATTAACTACTCCCGAACATAGTTTAAATGAAGAAAAATGATACGTTTTTGGATCTTAATTATTGGCTCCTCCTCTGAATACAACGTGCTTGGAAATGAGTCGAAGAAAAAGAAATATTTACGGGATTTTTTTTAAGAATTCCAACGTGATCCAACCGCCCTGTATTTGAAGGAGGAGTCGGCAATTGAGGTCGAAAGACCTATCATTTCTCTTAAATAAAATGTCATATTCAATATTTGTGCTAATTGGTCATATAAATTTATTTATTCTTTTTTTTTTAAAATATAATTATCTAATGCGCCTTGATGATTCAAAATATACGCGTTAAAATTTCCTTATTTGTTTGATGAGAAATACGAAAGGAAAAAGGAGAAAAAAAAAGAATTAAGGGACGAATTTTTTATTGGATCCGGACTGACGGGGCAAGAACCGTAGCTTTGCCTTGACAGGGCGGAGATCTAACCAATTGAACTACAATCCCAGGAAAATATGGAATACAAACAGAAAATGCAATTCTTTTTTATTCCTCCGTATCAAATATTTCTGAAGGACATGGAGTTATACCAATTCATGGCAGATTTATTTCATTTTATCTCTAATATGTGCCATTTCAATCATGAAGTGACTCCGCATAACATCATTACGTGTCCAATGTTTTTTTATTCTTCTTGGCGTATGATATTCTAGATTCACGGTTTTTTCACTCTAGTTAGCCATTATATATGATCGAAAAAAAAATTTAATTATGAAAACGTTTTGATAGGGCCTTAACTATAACTTGAAATGAGACAAATAAAACCTTTGATATCTCGTTTATATACCAAATTGTGCAATGAAGAATAAATATATTTTAATAAAAACTCTTAAATGATATTTTAAAATTCACAATTATTATATTTTTTAAACTTTAAAAAACCTTCTTACCAAATATGTTATACTTGTATTTTTTTTTTGCTTTCTATCAAAGCACACATAAAAAAATATTCCCAAACATGCTTTTCAATTTTGAACAAACATACCAAACTTGAACACTTTTTTACCAAATATACAAAAGCAAAAGACAGAATACAAATATATGTAATTAGACTTGCTTTTCAATTTTGAAAACCCTTGTTTTGTTAGTGCCAAACACGTCCTAACCAAGTTTGCAACCCTGATATATTATAATTATTAGGGTAAAGTGCAAAAAAAAAACCCTTAACAATGTTTAAATTTGCATATAACCCCTCTAAACTATGTTTTGTACATAAAACCCCCTAAACTATCACATTTAATTACAAAATGCACCATTGTCTTTCCTATTTTTTATTAAATAACCATAATACCCTTTTTTATTGAATTACACTTAATATATATATTTTTTCGTATTCTCTATTAAATTTACATAAGTTTGCCCATAATTTTTTAAATTAATTAAATAAAAATCTTAAATAAATTTTTTTGAAACAATTTAAATAATTTTTTAATTTTGATAAATATATTACATTAAAAAGAAGATACTTTTTTATTTACGTAATTTATTAATTTTTTTAAAGCGAATATAATAAACTTTATTATAATAAGTTAATCATTTTAAAAAATGATAGCTATAAATTTATTTATTTATTTTTCTATTTTTATAATCATTAAAGTAAATGATATAATTAATATTTAAATAAAGAGAAAATATAATAAAAGTAATTTAGTAAGACATGATAAATTTAAATTTAATAACAAAAGGTAAAATAATATTTTGTGATAAATTTATCCTTAATTGCAACAAATTAATAATTTAGGAGGACAATCTTTAGTTGGAGGAAATTAGTTACAAAAAGCCAATAATTCACAAAATTTTTACACTTTACCCTAATTATTTTGAATAATTAAAAATGTTATAAAAAACTGCCTTATTATGCATAAACATGTACGCAAGCCAACTTATTGTTCTAGGTTATTTGAGATTCGCCCATTCAATGTATACATTCACCACTCAAACTCGTTTAAAGCCATATTTTCGGTTGCTCAATATTTTAGACAAAATCAAGCAAAAAGTAGATTTCTGTGTGTATTTTTAAAATTATATAATAGAAATTATTTTTAAAATTATATAATATTTTATTAAATAACCATAATATAATTTTTTTTCTTGTTAAAATAAATTATAAAAAAAATTCATACTAATTTGATGAAGTATTCTCCATTAAATTTACATAAGTTGTCATTAATTTTTTTAATTAATTATTTAAATAAAAATTTTAAATAGAAAATTTTGAAACAATTTAAGTAATTTTTTAATTTTAATGAATATATTAAATTAAAAAAGAGATATTTTTTATTTAGGTAACTTATCAATTTCTTTAAAGTGAATATAATAAACTTTATTATAATAAGTTAGCTACAAATTTATTTATTTTTTTTATTTTTATAATCATTAAAGTAAATAGTATAATTAATATTTAAATCATTATTCAAACAAAATTGATTACTATTTAAAAAAGAGTTTGAGATCAGACTGACGTGCAAATCAAATAATCAGCAGAGCTTGTGCCTCTGATAATCTGTTTTTAGCATCATTTCCAAAACTCTTTTATTTAAAAAAGAAAAAGAAAATTACAATAATGTGTAAAAGAGATTACAGATTTAACCGAAACTAATTAAATAAACTGTGTTCTGAAGTTGATCTATGCGTGCAATCTCAGTCGAAAGATGGTGAAATTTATTTTAATCAATCACTATAAAACAATTCAGTGTATTCGATAAAATTCATCATCAATTGCACCAAGACACAACAAAAAAATCAAAATTAAAAAAAAAAACTAAACTTATTTTATATAATTAAATTGGGGGAAAAAAAAATAAAAGAGAGATCAGATGGTAGTGCATGTATATAAATCATCATTGGATGTTACAGAATATACTGGATAAACATCATCACGCCTCTCCAGACTGGTAGCAATACAACAAAGTGTGTGTATGGATACAAATAATTACAGTACAATATATATAAAAAAAATAATATAGATGGTGTTTGGTCAGATGGAATCAGATAGAGTATGTCAATCACCATCAGGCATCTGAAGATGCCTATAAGACTGGGGCGACAACTAATATCATCATTCTCCTCAATACCCATATTATTGAATATATATATAGAGAGAGAATCAACATACTGCTCAATACCTAAATTATACAATATACATATACACATACAGAGAGAGAGATTTTCAGTGAATATACCAGAGAAATCGTTGGTGACATGAAGAACGGAGAAACTCAGATTATAAAGAAGAGGGCAGGGGGAAGAGGAGTATTTAAAGAGGGAATTAGGGTTTTGGTATGTGTAAGTTGGGCCATGCTAAATATACAAAGGGCTGATATTGGCCCATTGCGGAAAGGAAAAAAAACAAAAAGAGAAAAAGAGAAAAGAGAACAAAAGTAAATGTGGCTGCTGGGATTCGAGCCCAGGTCTCCACGGCCACAACGTGGAATTCTAACCACTAAACTACAGCCACATGTTTGTTTGTCGTCTGAATTCATGTATTATTAATAGTGAAGTAGTTTTTTTAATCAACGCAGAGTGTGTGTGAACGTGTGCAAGTGGCACCGATAAACTATCACACTGAACGAATTACAGTTGTACACTTGGGTGTGGATGGGGTAAGTTCTATATGTACATTCAACATCCTTTTATGACACGGCCATGAACTTATCAAAACTCTAGAGTTAAGCGGCTTAACCTTGAATAGTACCAGGATGGGTGACCCTTGCGAAATCTCTGGTCTTGGTGAGCCAAAAGCGGACAATATTGTGTCTGGTTAGAGTGACGGTTGTTACAATCAGGATTCTATGAAATCAAATGTTTTATATTTTTACTTTGTCTTAAAGGCATGTTTATGTATTTCAGCCTTTAAATTGAAAAAAATATCAATATTAAGTAAATTGAAAAAAATATAGGAGATTTTTTGAACAGGGGTATTTATTTTTTTACTTTTGTTGGACTTTACCTTTATTTTAAACTTCAAATAGAATTCCAATTTTTTTTTAAAAAACTATTTTCTACCAATTATATCAGAGTTTCACCACTCCTTTCGAGTTGTTGACATTATTAAGAACTCAGTTTAACTGTATGTTGTAGGGTTTCATTCTCCCTTTTAATGGGCTAGACCTTATCAACAAATTCGGTCTTATTCAATTTACCGTAGAGTTTCACCGTCCCGTCCAAGGTGATCCTTGTCAACAACTCAGTTTACTGTAAAGTTTCACCCCCTCGTCCAATGTGTTGGACCTTATCAACAACAACTCGGTTTACTGTAAAGTTTCACCATCTCTTCCAATGCGTCGGACCTTGTCAACAAGTTAGTTTGTTGTAGAGTTTTACCGCCCTTGATAATCCTTATTCTAATAAATTCAATTTACCAAAAAAGAAAAAAATGTGATTTGATGTGAAATAACCAAGTGCAATGCTTAATACAGATTCAGATTGTTATATAAAGAAGGCCTGATATAAATTGGCAAAAGCCAAGTATAAAGAACATACGGGACAAATATAAGCTCATGCAAAATGACTGGTGACCAAATAACCAAACTCAAAATTATAACACCACCAAGTCGATAACCCATTAAACGATAATAAAAGTAACAAATAGTCCCACAAAGGCAGCTCACAAGCGAAGAAGACAGTATTCTCTGCTTTAACCACCATATTCATTCATTCATGGCCTACTTTGAAGGTGGTGGAGACAAGAAAGGAATGGTTGGGATGGTGGAGAAAGGCAATGGCGGCAATGCGAGTTTAGGCACGGTTGGGATGGTTGGTATGGTGGGAAGAGTAGTTGGCAATGGCGGCAATGTGACTTTAGGCACAGTAGGAATGGTTGGTATGGTGGGAAGAGTTGCTGGCATTGGGGACAATGTTGGCTTCGGCAGAGATGGTATGGTCGGGAGGACTGGCGTTGGAGGCATCGCCAGCAGATTACGAGCAGCATGACACATTTCGTTGCTTGTGATGGACAAAAATGCTAGAACGAATACATAAACATAGCTGTTGGAAGCCATGGTTATGTGAAATGAACCTGAGAATTGAATGGTGAAAGAAAGCAAATGGATTGATGTTATATATATGTAGGGTTATGGTAATATAATATGTTAAAATAAGTTCATTTTGGTTATGACTTTTAGAAGGTAGTTGGAAAACTCTAGACGTTGCTGTTGAAGGTTGTCATTAGCTAAACTCCTTGTTAGCAAGGTCTGCGCAACACCAGAGTTCACAGAAGTCAGCTAGAAATCAAAACACAGATAAGGTCTACGGTTAGGTTGAATATCTCAGAGTTCTTAAATAACCTAAGTACACCAGGTCTCGAAGTAGATGACACCTGAGAGGTGTGAGAGGTCATTGACCTCAACAAATTATCGAGAGAGAGTACAGAGAAAGAAATTTATCGAGAGAGAGAGTAAAGAGAAAATTTAACAAAGCCCAGACCATCGAGATCTTTTGAATCCAGAGTAAATGGAATTCCTCCCTCCCTAAGCAGTTTCTCTTTTTCATTCCGAGCCAAGTAACAACATTGCAACCAATGCAAAAGCCCACTTGAATCCAGAACATATATGTTTGATTTATTGCACAATAAAAGACTAGATATGAGGAATGAAAGTTATCCCCCCAGAGAGAGAGATGGTTGCATTCCAGTAACAAAAACCTTCAAAGCAGGCTTACATTACGAATTTCATGTTGGCTGCTAAATTGAATTGAATCAATCGATAACAAAAAATTGTCCCTAGAGCTCTTTTCAATTTATATTTTCCATTCTTTAAGTCAGAAGTCTCTATCATACACGAGTCAGAAATGCAGCTTTGCAATCATGTCAAATTGCTTGTATTCCCATCTTTCATGAGCCAGTAGGAAAAAATTTCTTTCCAGCATAGTTTACAGTGTGACCGGACTGAAACTCTTCTTGCCCTAGCAGAAATATCTTCCCCAACTTTCTAGTGTTGCTTCTCAGAAATAGTTAATATGAAACATAGAGTGTATTCACATCTTCATCCAAAATAATCTGGTGGTAAAATTAGTTTCCAGAGATTAATCATTGACAGGGCATTCTAAATTTCTAAACAAAATAGATTTCATCTAATTACGTATTTGTTCTAATTCAAAACATTTGCATAAAAATCTCAGGCTCAATTTGACACCAAGATAAACACCCTTAAATGTTGCATCAGAGGGTTAAACCATGAAATAACAGCTTGATGACTTGCCCTCAATGACCAAAAACAAGAAAAAACCCGTTTTTATTTATTTTCTGTATATTTAGACGAATACATTTTCATTACACCAGAGATATTTTTCTCTCTTTTATATTTTAAGTAGTCTCATTACATAAAAGATATCGCAGGTTTAGAAATGATTTTAAAAACTTAAACATAATAGGAGACATGGACTGTAATAGAAAATAATAGAAAAAGAGAATTCAAGTGACAGACCCTATTCATTCATATGGTATAAAGGCAACAGTAGTGATAAAAAATAATTTCAATAGTAACAAAACATAAAGGGTAGTCAAATAAAAAGTTGCTGCTAAGCTATAGGATTTGAGAATTTTATTTACCAAGGGTAGCAACTCTGGGGAAAATAATGTCAATGGTAGGCCTACCTCTAATCATCCCTTCCAAATATCCCGCATAGGGGGCATACATTCCACGTAGGAGGGACATACACCGGGAAATACATTCAAAACTTGCATTCATTCAAGAGCATGGTTTCGAATACAAATTTTAAATTTTGTTCAGAATACAAAAAATTGTGTATAAAGGCTTTGCTTCATCACAATATATATACATATATATATATTACTCTCACATATTAACATATTGATATGAACACCACCAACATTTAGTTTGAGTCATATTCTCTAGCACTCCCAGTAAGATGCAGGGTTCACGTCCAGATTAGGAAGCGGGTGTGTATCTCATATTTATAAAAGTAATAAAACTTATAATAACAATAACATGTTAATATTGAAAATAAAGATGAGAATGTACCTCTGACACACAATTCGTCCTAATGTTGTCCTGCACTACCTGTGGTCTTTTTCTCTGGAAACACACGAGCAATATCTAGACTGAGGTTCTAAATTACAGTCCAAGATACAGTGCAAATATGAATGAGAAAATGGCAAGATCAACAGTTTCAATTAAGAAAACACATAGTAGTGCATGCTTGGTATACATTTCAAAAAGGTCAACGGGTCCATGAATGTCCTATCAAACAACACACACAGAGATAGAGAACAAAGCTTTTTATTTCTCATTCTTCTAGACCAGGTTACATCAATATGAGTATATGTGCAACATTTAACACCAGGCAAACAGGACATATATTTAATAAATCATTAATAATGGGCAAGAAAACTACTCAAGTAGCATGACACCATGCAGGTTAATCTATAGGATTGTGCAGATCAAACTATATATATGATGTATCTTAAACATGGCAGTTAGGTGCGCCTAGGTCCCAAAAAATCTCCAGGCCCATCAAAGGTCAAAGTCAAAGTCAAATGGAGCGCCTCAACCAACTCCACACCAAACCCTTTCAATCAAGCTCACAGAAATTCCTCAATCTTGCACTTTTATTAGGCTCCTAGCTAAAAGAAACATGCCTTCTATTTTTACATCATTTGTTATATATATATATATATATATATATATATATATATATATATATATATATATATATTTATAATGACCCTTAACGAACATGATTTATTTTATATCATGATTATGCTTTCTTTTTCGGTAAGTAAGCAACACACGCTACCCCATGTGGGACTCAAGCTGCTCACCTCCACTTTGGAGAGGAGAGTTCCTATGGACCAAATATAATATTCAATTGTTCATATCCTTCAATCTTATCAAATATTTGAATAATTACATTAATTGGTTTTAGTTCTCAATTCTGAATATTTATGATAATAGAATATACGTCTTTTTACTGTTTTACATTTATAATTACATTTTAGTTGGTACTTGGTACATAGACATATTGAACGGATTTATGCGTTATAATTTACCTAATTCTTTTAATTAATATGTCAAAATTTCCATTTTAAAAGAATTTCTTATAGTTGTGTTGCATATCTTAAATAGCTCCGAACGTACATTGATTTAATTGAATTCATACGGAAATTGAAAATATATGTCTATTGATTTAGCCAATCCATAAATTGATATGCTAAACAGTTCCTTTATTTCGATCTTAATTAGTTCATTTATTATTATTATTATTTTTTTTCTAAAATAGATTTATTATGTGTTTTTATTACATGCTCCTTATTTCAATTAGGCTAGTGCCTTAAATTACGTATTGTGCTTAGGCTCCAAGAAACCTTGACGCCTCAATGCACCTTTTTTTGTGTGTGTGTGGATAAGTTTACTGCACCTTGAGAGCATAATAGCTATGATCCACAAGCAGTTCAAGCGAAAAGTGGAAAACACATTCTTAAAAAAATGAAGTTTTAAGAATTGATTGGACTCCAAATATCCATTTAATACCTCTTGTAACCAATTTTTAATTTGAGTCAAGTCTATTTATGCTTTTCCAAGTTAACATTTTGTCAGACGTTCTTGGGTCATATTTTAGGTTAAGTTGTAATATCAGTTCCTTATCTGTACTAGTCAAAAACTCTAGATTCCTGAACATAAAATGTAACTCCCATTTGAGTTTTCATTGCCTGCCTCTAAATCGTCATGTGATGTTTTCTTTTAGAAAATAATAAGTTATACTCCGTAGCTCACAATTCAACTAATAACCAGTATCAAAGGAAATTTTCAGCAATTGTGCCCTTCATAAATCACATGATGCAATTCAAACATTAGGTGAAATGCCTAGCTTCTTGTTCTCTTTGCTTCTCTTATTTCACTGCTCTTAAGCCTTTAAAAAATCACACCAAGATTTTCACGATTCTTTCCAACCCTTGAAATCCAACTTTGATAAACCTAAACATTCCTTCCATCAAACTGATTGAAAACTCTAGGCTAATTATGAAAAATCACAAATACAAGCCTTAGTAGTTCACAGGTGCCTAGCTTCTTGTTCTCTTTGCTTCTCTTATTTCAGTGCTCTTAAGCCTTTAAAAAATCAAACCAAGATTTTTACGATTCTTTCCAACCCTTGAAATCCAATTTTAATAAACCCAAACATTCCTTCCATCAAACTGATCGAAAACTCTAGGCTAATTATGAAAAACCACAAATACAAGCCTTAGTAGTTCACAGGTACCTCCCACCCCCCACCCCCCCACAAAAACCAAAATAATAATAATAAAAAAATAATAATAAATTTGTATTTCTTGCCAGAATATTACAAAAAAAACTTCATTCTCTTGTTACTCCCATTATCCCATATAAACCTTACAACTTCATATTTTTCCCAACCTTTTGGTAAAAACATAAAAAATAAAAAAATACAATAATCAGCTCTAAAACCAATGTCCTACATTTCTTGGTATCATAAGTCAGTAAAAAAAAAAAAAAAATTTACCCCAATAAATGGATTATAACTACATTGATTGAACTGCTAAGAAGTAAGAACATCAAGTGTGCAGGGTACCATATTCTTTGTATATATCATTAAAAGACATAAAGAGATAATAAACAAGATTTAACTCGTGCACGCCAATGAATAGAAAATAGCTTACAGAGAAAGATAAATACCATGCACCAAGCCGGCAGAGAGCATCCGATCTATATTATCTACACGCCTTTGTATAGATTTTAAAACTGAATTCAATGATGAAACTCTTTTTCTAACACCAGAAATTTTGGCAGCATACTGCATGATGAATGGCAAGGGCGCGTCTTCCAGAAGTTGATCAAGCTCTGCCGAAGTACAAGAAATGAACCAAGCAAAAAAAATCAACTAAATTTTGTTAAGCAAAACTAGGACAAACCTAAGGCCATGAAAATAGTAATGCCGCAAAATTTCTATCCTAAGTGGAACATATGACTATTTAGAATATCACATATTTATCTCAATTGGTAAAGTGCCAACAAGTTATCGTGATTGAGTATGTATCATATTTGCAATATCAATGGAACAAACATCATATTAAGGGAGAATCCTTATCCTCTATACAGTTGCCATAGCCATTATTTAGAAATACAACTTATCCATTGATTGGCAAAGGGATATCAATTTTACATATACAAAAAATGCTTCCATTCAATGCCATTAAGCTTAGCCCACCAATTATGAGCCTCGAAGAATCCTTACCCCATATTTCATTGCTCTGCATGGATGGTTATTTTTAAAATTTAAAAAGAAAGAATGAACACTCTGAGATTGTTGATCTAAACACTTGGACTGAATAATAATCAGACTACGGTTTAAGACACACTAAATGGAGAAAACTGATTCTTGTAGCCATCCCTAAATAATTGGGACAAGGCTTTGTTGAGTAAATAAATCCTATGATTCTCAAGGGATTTTATTTTATTTTTCCTTTGGCAAGAAAACTCACAAGCCCACTTGCCCCTATGGGAACTTGAACCCTCACCTTCCACTTGGAGAGGTAGACCTTATGAAGTGTTCCTACTTTCTTTCATTTCTTTTTAACTTTGACAGGGGTTTCTGAATTCTGAAACAAGTAAATTGAAGTTTACTTCTCATAGTTCAACATAAAATGTATAACGTCGAGACAGTTGATCATCACAACACCACCATATGCTACTCACAAGTTAATAAACCAAGTGCCGCATTTCATGCATTTTAGAAAAATAAACGAATTAGATAGTCATTTCTACCTACAAATTATGTGTGTACGCATCTATGTACTTCGTATTTGACCTCAGTGGCTGTTTCATTACTTATGTCAGACCATTCAATTAGCTTAAATTTTAAGTTGAGATTAAAAATAACAACAAATAATCAAAACCCACAAATCAAGATGGAAAAAATAAATAAATAAAAATATATGAGGAAGTGAAAGAGCTGAAGGTAAATGATAAAGTTACCTCCGGTAAGACGATCGATGGCGGAGGAAAGCTGTTCTTGGCTGCGAGTGGTATCTTCAGCTCTGGAATCAAAATCCCTAATCGCGAAAGAGAGAATAGAAGAGAGCCCTTTGGCCAAAGAAGAATCGGAACTGTCGCTCACGCTATGATCTTCAACATTGTTGGTGGCTCTGGAGGGTTCGTGCGTTTCCTTCGCCGTCGACGCATCAGCACCATGTTCTGCGGCGGCGGCGGCATCCGATGGCTCACCGACGACGACACTGGCCTCCTCCTCAGTTGGATCATAGTGATGGTTTTCTAGGGTTTCATTGGACATGGTTGATGAAGTTCATGGAAATTAACAGAACACCTTGATATATTAATCGATTCTGGTTCGAGATTGACGGAGAGAGAATGGAGGGAGGTTTGGTTTGAAGATCGAGAGTTGAGACTTTACAGTCGGAAGAGTAGAAGAAATTACTTTTTGGCGGTGTTTGGTTGTAGGGTTTAGAGTATACGAATCCATGTTAAAATATCATGTACCGGAATAACCACTACCTATCTAGTTTATGATACAATAAGATTAGTGTCCTCATAAGGACCTGTCTCGTGCCGGATTCAAATGAAAAAAGTAAAATGAATATAAATAAGTGTTAGTACCACAAGACAATGGGGCCGAAACCCCATCCTTATCCCCGTTTACAATAGTTAACCTCATCCTCGCTCCAAAATTGTTTATAAATTGGGTGAGGTAAGGCGGGACGGGGACGAGACCGAAGTGAATTTTGTAAAGTATTTTTGTAATTGTAATAAAAATCTAGCGAAAATAAATTTTTAGCTATGATAATAAATATTTTTTATAGTGATAAAAAAATATTTAATAATATTTCGTGATTGGAATAGAGTAAATTATGATTTGTTTAATATATACCTAATATTATTGAATATAAATTAAATATAAAGACAAATTTGTAATTTATTATTATAAAGGAGGTTGGGCGGGGTGACCTTTCCCATCCGTACTTCATAACCATGCGATTTTCAATCTTAATTTTCATCCTCATCTCAAAATCATTTAACCATCTTTATAACTGTTCTAAAAGGGAAATGGTGGGGCGGGTACCTGACGGGGCTAAATATTTTATACTATTAATTTTGTTGCACAAACTTTCTAGTTTTACCAAGTGCAAATTAGTTCAATTAAACCCCTCAAATACTTTTATCTTTTAACTATATTTTAGTTTTTGCCCCAGTTGAGTGAGTAATACAAGAATCAACTTATTTTTGGTATTCTAATGTTTGGCATGTGTACAACACCAAAAATATGTAAAGCCTAATATCCAAATTCAAATTTAAGAAAAACAATTCAAACTTAAATAAATGTAAGATCAATTTTGTATTTCTTTTATAATATAATTAAATATTTAAAAATCATAATAACGAAATATTTTTAAAATTTAAAATTATAATTAGAAATGAAAAAAATAAAATTATAGCTAATAAAAGAAATTGTTCTTACAATTCAAAATTATCATAAGAAATAAAAAAATCAAAATTATAGAAAATAAAAAATATTTATTTATGTATTATGAAGTAATTATTAATCGGAGAAGGTTTGAATCTTTGTGGGTTTTAATCAGTTTCTCTTAGGGCATGTTTGGTATGGTGGAATGAATTGGAATGGAATAAGAATGGAGGTGGGAATGGAATGAGAATGGAATGGAATGAGAATAATGATTCTCATTCCACCATTTGGTTGTAAACATGAAATGTGTAAAAATGGAATCTCAATTTCATTTCTCTGTTTGGTAAGAAAGTTAGAATAGAATGAATTTATATTGTTTCTTTAAATTACATTTTATTATTAGTAAAAAAAATTAACTAAAAAAATTAATTTGCAAAAATAAAAGGGAAAGAGATAATAAAGAGAGAAAAATAAATGAGATAGAGAGAGGGGGAACAAATAGCATATAGATACATATTATATATATATATATATATATATATATATATATATATATTATATTTTATATAGTGTTTGTATGCGTGAATTATCTCTTTAAATTATTTTATTACTTTATTAATTCTTAGTGGGAATGGAATGGTCATTCCACCTCTCAAGAAGTGGAATGGGCATTCCACCTTTTTGAAGGAATGCCCATTCCACTTTTAATGTGGCACACTAAACAAGAGAATGAAAACAAATGCATTCCATTTCACCTTCATTTGATTTTATTCACTCACACTAAACATAGTCCTAACTTCATCTTAACCCGATTAGAAATATACCAAACCCATTCCGGGCGAGACGACCCGAAGTCTAATTTATTTATTTATCTTTTCCTAGATGACGCAAAAAAAAAAAATTCAACTTTCTAAAAAACTGAGTGAGAGAAAAGCCCATTGGGGTAGAAGGCCCACTAATATTAGGGTTTCCAACTCAGCCTATATATGTAATGGTGCCGCTTCCCCTCATTTTTCAGGGAAGGGTTCTGGTTTTCTCTGGAGAATTGGGCGAACTCAGGCCGAGAGGGGTTTTATTCAAGAAACTTGAGCCAACATGAGGGCTAAGGTTCGTGTTCCCTTGTATAATCTGCATAGCTTGTCGTTATTCTGTAGTTTATGATTTCATGAATTTATTTTTCTATATTCATTGTTTGATTTTTAATAAACTGTAGAATAATAAAAAAAAAGACTTTTGCGATTTGTTTTCAGTTCGTACAGATTGTTACGGTTTGATGTAGTAGTTTTTTATTGAGGATTTTCTTCGATTTCGACCCCTCTTGAAGATTGATGAAATATATATATTGCTATATTTCTTTCAAATTTGTTTGGTGTTTGATCAAGATTCAGTTCAAGTATAAGCAGGATTGAGACTTTAATAATCAGAAAATGCTTGAAATACTTTCAATGAATCGTTCATAGGCCTTCGTGTTATGTTCTATATAACCAGTTTATGCTGTATAGTGTCCGATTCAAGTACAAGGAGGATTTAGACCACCTTTATGAAATAATTTTGAATATTTACCAAAAACTTTTTGTGAACTTTTCTAAAGCCTGTTCATTTCTTCATGTTATGTTCTATATAACCAATTTACCAAAAGGTTTACCATTAGATAAGTTTGATGCATCTTAAGTTCTGAACGTTATCATGTTCCATGAATTGCAAAAGGTTAGGATGTAAGTAGATGGAGGATTGAGATCTTAATAGGAAATTTATGAAATACTTTTGAAGACAAATTTGATTCATAATAATTTTATAAAGTCGTCATGTTCCATGAATTGCTCAAGCTTGGGATGTAATTGCCCGCATTTCTTGGCTGATAAGTATTACTAATCTGATATATGTGGGTTATAGTAATTTGTGATGTTTGTTGAGTACTATTTTGTGGAAATACCAAGTTCACGGGATGGTTGCGACCTTTACACCATTGCATTGTGAATGTTGTATTTTGTTGGTTTCGGGCTGAAAATTATGTTGTAAATGGTATAATTCTTTCTGTTAACAACATGTGAAATTATTGGACTTTTAATTGCTTCATGTTCATTATGTACTGTAAAGATCTATGTTTCTGAGGGAATTTGGTTTTTTACTGGATAAGGGCAACAATTTAGTATCAAGCAATGTTGTTAAAGGCGCACCTAGGCATCTAGGCTAATGCAGATGCAATGCAACAATTGCGCCTTTTGTTTGTCTAGGCGCGCCTTTCACAACATTTGCTCCTTTAATATGGAGTATGAATATGCTTTAATATTAATTCAAATTTTCAATTGTTTCCCTCACTTCACTTAAGTGCATACCTTGCCTTGTGCCTAGACTCCAAAGGACATCTAGCTCCTTGGGCCTTTGATAATATTGGTATCAAGAGAATATAACATCATTAACTTGGTGGAAGATCATGACTGACTTTTGAAAGGGAAGTGCTATAGGGCAGAAATGTCGGTAAATTAATTTTTTGTACTTTACTAGTTTTGTTTCATTCAATATAGTGGTTTTCTTTTGCTCTTCACAGTGGAAGAAGAAGCGCATGAGGAGGTTGAAGAGGAAGCGCCGAAAGATGAGGCAAAGATCAAAGTAAACAATGGCTGTGGATAGCAAAATGACTTCTTTTAATAGTCTTTCATCTTTTTATCAGCTTCTGTGATGGACTGTGGCAGTTGTGATGTATGGTGGGAGATTTTAGCGGGAAGCTTAATCATGTTATCTATGCTGTTTCTACAAATTTTAATTTCAGGTTTTGTATTTCGATGAAGTAAGTTTTAGGGTTTATTGTTGAGCAGAATTTTTCTGATCTTGTTTTCTATTTTATTTGGATCTTAGTGTTTCTGAATCTTATATTAAGACATAATAAGTTCTTTAACTGCGTGGCTTATTATGAAGTAATGCACGTGTTGACTATCCACTATCCTATTGCATAATATATTTTTGCTTTGCGTACTGCATTGTTCTTGCAATGGATTTCAAGACACTCAGTTTAGGAGTATGTAGGTCCTTTTTCTACATACTTCTTAGTTATTCTTGATGTGAAATAGGAAGAAGCTAGTTAGGGGGTTCTCTAGCTAATTGACACTTATTGTGTTTATCCTCTAGTTGTCGTAGACAACTTGTTTCCAAGGGATGCCTTGTTGATGATTTGTAATTTTGTTTTATATCTATAGAAATTTTCCACTTTACCCAGGAAAAAAAAATGGAGTTTTTCTCATTCCAATGTGAGAGGGCCTTTAATAGACTTGATGATTAAATATGTAACATATGATCAATTTTGAGAGATTCACATATTGGCAATTGAAGATTTAAGTGCCTGATTGGATTTTGGAGGATACTTTATTAGACTTCTATTTTCTGAAGAGTTTTAAGGAATTATTTGGTTCTGGATTGTAAGTTTTGAGTCTGTTGTTTTTGTGTGTTTTTTTGATAGGATGGTTTGGTTTCGTCAAATTTTGTATGCACTTGTTTGGGATTTGCTTTTATTTTAAAAAATTAGGTGCGTTTGGTAACCGTTTTATGGATATATAGTGGATGCTAATTTTGGCTCAGAAGTGAGCTTTTTATACTGCGGTGCGATATTTTAGGGTCACTCTTTATTATTATTATTTTTTAAAATTGTTATTAATTATTAAAAGTTATATCATCACATATTTTTTAACTAATTGCAAACTTAGTGTACAAAGAACACTTCTTTTATTCTAATAGCAATATGGGTTTTGGGTTTTGGTTGATGCTATATTTCAGTTGAACCCCAAATGTAAAGCCCATTTGGTTGATGTTATATTTGAGTTCCATTTGGGGGTCTCTCTTCTCAGAGGTGGATTGATCATGAGCTCATTGGAAGAAAATTACATGACCGAACATCATTAGCTTTTTTTTTTTAAAGGCAAACAAGAGCGAAGCACAGGGCAGGGACAAACCCAGCCCAATAATTCAAGCATATAACCTCCATTAACGGCATGATTAACCGTTAATGGAGGTTGTAAATTAACTCTCATCCGAACTAAAAATAAATTATACACGAAGAGCATTGGGGGGCACTTTTATCATTGTTAAGAATTTTGTTGAAGAGGACTATAGAAGAGTATAGAATATTGTAGAAATTGTAAAGACATAAATATTTAAGTGTAGAGTTATAAAAACTACTATATTATAGGTCCTCCATCGGTGGAGAGGTTTGAAGAATTATTATATATATATATATATATAGGCTAGAGTCCAATTTGTAACATGAAACTTCAAGAATGAAAACACATGCGGTGTAAAACACCATCACAAAGCAAATCCTTCCCAACGTTGCAACGACAGACAGCTGTTACACTCGCAGTAAAACAAGTGTCACGTCTATTACAGGTGTCGGTAAAATAACTTCCACATACCTTTGCGCTGACACGTTACTATAACAGCTGTTACTTATGGTAAAAGAAAACCTTTGCTATGGCTATCATCTGAAATATATATACAATTATACATGGATATGTATACAGAGTTGAGATATGGCGAAAAATAAAGAAGATATAAAGTATGGAAGAACACATGGAGAAGGTGAAAGTTATCGGGTGAAATGCAAGGCAGGCAGTTCAAAGAAAATTTGGGAACCACTTGAACCCCTCGATGTCTTCCTCAGCACTCCCTTAACAGTTGATCGCTTCTTTAGGGATCCCATAATGAGGAAGGCGTTGCTCCATTCTCAAACATCTAACCCGCTTACGGTTGTTGATCGCTCCTGGCGGCGCATTGGTGGCGCTACCAATATCTCCATCGGTCGAGCTACCAACGTCTCCTGCGCAACTAGTACATCTAATGTTAACCCTATTCATCATCAATCCGAGCTGCCGGACGACACTGCCTCTACAGTAGGTCCCACCACCACCACATGTGGTTGATGAACTAGAGTAATGTATTAGGTGAAAAGTCAATAAAATGGTTAAATCTTTTTCAAATTTATTCTTTAGTTATTTAAAGAAAATTTAAAATTGACAATTTAGAGTGTGTTTGTTAAAAGAGATGGGAGGGAAGAAAGGATATTAATAGAGTAATAAATTAGAGGAATGAAAATTTGATGGATGAAGAATATCATTTTGGATTGCAGCTCGATCTCTTAATGAGAGAGAGAGAAAAGGATGAAGATTGTATAATATGTTAAGTGACATTATTATCTTTCATTAGTTTTTGTGAAATTATATTTATATATATATATACACACACACACTAAGTATAATTTATCATTCTTCCTCTCTTACATTAACCTCTTTATTATAGAGGAGAGAACTTTTACATATTTTACTTTATTTATTTACTTATTATTATTTTTTAATAAAGAAATAGTGGTACATTTCTAGATGTCCAGAGAGTCTCTCAGAGAAAGAACTGCTAGTTGGGGGGCGCTAGGCCCTATATTGCAACGGTGGATCCATAATTATAGCTCGTTTTTAGAATAGATGGCACAAACAATTGATTCTGATCAAATCGGATTGGTTGTTTTTGTTCGGTCCCAATTCAAAAAATATAAAGTCATTTATAAACATGCATTGTGATTCTGGATATATACTAAATCGAATCGAACTAAATTGTTATATAATATATATATATATATATATATATAATGTATAATACATATTTTATTTTAGTGATTCTTATACTTTTAATAATCTTTATCTAATTCAATCTCGTTGATGTAAGAACTTTGAAAGTTTATTTTTGAAACGATTGTGATGAACTTGTTTCAAATATTCAAGATTGAAGAAGGTTTGATTGAATTTTTTTTATTAAAGGTTAAAAAGTTTGATATCGAACAATAATTTAAGTTTGATATCAATGAGAATAAATACTTTCAAGTAAGAACGGCACTTGTCTTGTTGTTTTCCGTTTTTAAAATTTTTTTGAATGTTAAATACTTTGTGTGGGGAGCTGGACCATATGTTTTTCTATAAACTCACTCTTTCATTGTATGACATATATACAACCTTGTTTTTTTCTTCTTAAGGATTCATCTTGAGCTACGAAGGAATTGAAAATGTAAGGTTCCTAACTAGAGTTTTGTGTAAGAAATGTTTTTTGACCTCTATGTTGGTTTTTTTTTATAAACTTATGAAGAGTTTGCTCATCCAAACGAAAACGACCAGTCATCATCAGTGCATGTCTGTTTGCATGCAGAACAGGTTCACGAGGCACACAAGATCATCCCAGACTGAAAAAGTAAGGAGAGATATACAGGCATAAAAAAATATAAATAAGGAAGAGTTAGCAATAGAGAAAAGAAGGCCCGCAAAAGAATTTTCTTTTTCAGGTAAAATAAATTTTTTATTTTTATTTTTTTGGTGTTTGGCAAAAGTTTAGGTTCACATATATATACTTAAATAGGGTGAGTATGAATTATGAACTCTAAACTCATTGTAGGTACAGAACGAATATGAATTTGTTCATAATTAAACAAGGTGAGTATGGATTTAGTCAAACTCACTCCATACTCACCCCATTGCTATCCCTGCACTTATGAGCGCATTCTTTATAAATTCAAGAATTTTAACTTTGTTTTTATCGTTTTGGTAGCTAAAGATGTTAAATGCAAAAGTATATTTGTAAAGGTTATCTCTCCTCTTTTACCAACATTTTTGCGGGTGAACCTCAGGCTTAATGTAATTAGAATTGCTGTAGGAGTTTAAAAGGGCCTTAAATGTTAAGTAGTTAGATAATTATGAATCACAATTTTTAAAGTAGACAATTATTTTAGAACAGAAAAAATATAGAATGAGAAAATATTTAAATTATGTGTATTGTTATTATTCTATTTTTTTAATGACAATGGTATAATTCTATTTTTTTGTGAAAAAAATTGTGATCCCCTTTAAATTGTCTTATCCTGCATTAAATTGTGCACGAAAAGCTCAAACTCATTTACAATAGGAAAATTATATAAAAAAGGGTTGTGAGATAAATTCAATTTAGTCAAAAGACAAATCTTCCACCCGTCATAAAAATATTTTTCATTTCAATGAATTGTACGGAGTTGAAGGCAGGTGGCAAAACAAAAAAGACACCTGTAAGTCTTGTGCTAAAAACAACTTCCAGCTGTTGCTATATCGGATATATATAAACAAAGACACCTCTTGCTATACTGGACTCGTCATAAAAAAAAAAAAAAAAAAAAAGAAAAAAAAAAAGAAAAAAGAAAAAAGAAAAAAAGTGTTCCATAAATAATTTTTGGAGTGTGTGAGAAATATAAAAATGGCGAAGAGCAAGGATGATGTAAAGTATGGAACAGCACAAGCGAAGCTATCAGAAGATGAAAGTTTGAGGGTGAGATACAAGGCAGGCACCCCACTTGAAGGAGGGAAGATTGTGGACTCTGAACCGGTTGATCTCTTCTCCAGTGCTCGCAACACCGATCAAGGAGGGAAGATTGCGGACTCTGAACCTGTTGATCTTTTCTCCAGTGCTCGAACCTCGACACCTCCTCTAAACAAGGGGGCCAAACATCTGACCCCACCCCTCCACACGACCGTGCAACTCCAGGAGGAGACAACGCTGCTCCCACCACCACCACCACATCTGGTTGATGCATGCATGAGCAGGAACCAAAGGAGAGAGTAATTCGAGTGATTGTATTTATTTCTTTTTTCCGCAGTTAAGACTTAATTTAGAGTTAGTTTATACAAAATATACTGCATGTATCATGTTCTTGTTAATTTAGTGCAATATAACTAGTGCACTTAATTTGCCCTGTTGTCCTGCTACCTACCACTTGTGAGAGGTGGCATAAAGTGCTCAAAATATATATATATAAAATAAAATAAAATAAAAGAAACCGATTTGAATTGCTATCAAGAAAGAAAGAAAGATAAAAGATCGAGTTAATTTTGCAAAATAGAAATAGAAATTAAGAGAGATTTAACAGTTATTGTAAACAATATATCCTTTCAAATTTCACAATTGAACTGAGAATTCGTTGAGATCCATTGATTTGAAATTTAAATAAAAAGTATAGTAAAATGGAGTAGTGCTGAAGTTTAAGTCACACGTAAAAGTGAGTCCTACGGGAATTCGACGTGGTACAAATTTTTAAAATTTTAATATTATTTCTCGCTCAAACTTGTAATACTCTCGTTGTGAAATATTTTAAGAATATTTTTGATTGCAAGTCATCTGGCGCTGGGAGTATACGGGAAGAATAAAAGGTTTAGAGACTGCTTGCTTTGTGGAGAAGATATGACTGATGAGATGCTCTATGTGCTCTGAATGGGCATAACAGGTTGCCTCAATCATGGGCGGAGCTTTTAGCCTCAATAATGGGCGGAGTTTTTAATGGGCTAACCTGGACTATAACCCAAGTCTAATCTTTTTTTTTAAAAAAAATTTAATACTAGTATTTTTATTCGCTCAGTCCATATGTAATTAATTCTTAATACTGCTCGTTCTCTTCCTATCAGCTCAATCTATTGTACTATTCTTCTTCCTATCAGTCCATCCATAAGTGATATGTAATTAATCTCTTTAGCCACTTCCTCTCAACACACGGTGATATTTTCCCTCATAGGGTTTGGCCGATTTGGGGGTCTAGCAAGGAACTTGCAAAGACTTGAGAGGGATTCAATTTCTCATCTTTTTGAACAAATATAGATAAAAAATCAGTGAAGAGAATACATCGAAGAAGAAAAATCTCTCTGAGATCAGAAAACTCTATTTACATGGGATATGAGGCGATTGCAGGCCTTGAAGTTGATCTTGGCTCCTCCCCTAGGGTTCAGGGATACAATTTGTGGCTTGGGGTCATCAAAATGCCCACTGTGCAAGAGAGAGAAAGAGATCAAGAAAAAAGAGAGGTAGAAAACACAAAAGAGATAGAGAACTCAGTCTAGTGTGGTGATGAATTTGAATTTGAATTCTTTGTGGATATGATTTGAGGCTGGGGGTCTTGGTTGGTGAGGTGATGAAGGTAAAGAATTGGTAGAAAGAGAGATGAGATGAAGAGAGAACACAGAACTCAGAGTTTGCTTCTATATTGCTGGCCCGAAGGTTTGCTTCTGTATTGCTGGGCAATAAAATAGTACCTTCTGTTGGTGTTGTGCATTTCTTTTGTTATGCCCAGTTTGGCACAATGTCCGTCTTCCTAGTTGAGATCAAAATGGAACTTTTAATTCGTTTGTTCAAATGTCTTTCACATTTATGGGAGTCTCCTTCATTGGCATTGAATTTTTTTTTAGAGAAGTATAATGGACGTATTGTAATTTTACTCGCGCGTTATAACTAGTGTTTTGTTCCGTTAGTTACACATCAGTCGCACAATAACATTTGGAAATACTAGAGAGTTAAAAAAAAACATTGCGGTAGTACTACAAAAATTACAATATCTCTAGATCAACATCTCTATCTCTGCCACCTGATGGAGGAGGGAACTGAAAGTACAAAGAATTTTCCCCAATTCTAGAGAGAGAAACTTTACACTTCCGAAATATTTTCCAACCACTTTTCCTTCTCATTTCCGTCTATTTATAGACGGTTACAATCACTTCTGGCCTAGACCTATCTTCTTTCCTTTTGCTTGGGCCCAATTCCTTTCATCACAATGTGGGCTTCCTTAATGACTTCCTGGACCTGAGCCCATTTAGCGAGGACTTGCTCCATCTCGGTTGCCCCTACTCGACCCGTTCTTAGCAATATGAATCATACCAAGCCCAGGTCATTTTTGGTGTCTTTATTTGCCCCCATAATCTCTCTCTTAATTAATTAGGGTGAGATTATTGAAAAGACACAATCTTGGTCTGACGGCTCGGAGTGATGACATAGGGAATCGAACGGCTGGCACGAAGACCTAGCCTTCAAGATCTTCTACGCCACTTTTACCTCAACCATTCGAATTCTATGTCGCCTGCATTTATTCTCTTTAAAAACCTTAATCCTCTTAATCCTTGTATTCCTTTAACAAATTCTACTCTTATCCTCTGTTGTTGTCTTCTCGGGTCTCTTCTGTCGTCTTCTTGCATTTTCCGGCGAGCTTTCTTCAATTTCTCCGGCGAGTTTTTCTTTCGCGATTTGGCTCTTGTACTGTTGCAGAGTACTTCACAAACTCTTTCCTCAGGGTCAGTTCTTTTATTTATTTATTTTTTTTTGAAAGAAAAACCTTAATTATCAGAAATTTCTCCCCTTCTCCATGACTCCCCCTAATTTGAGTGCCATTCGTTCCAAAAATAACATTCCCAATGACGTTTCTCTCAGGATCTACCCCACAAACCTGGATGGGAGCTCTGGTAAGGGTTTCCTTCCTGGGGAGATTTTATTCTCTGTCGTCCACTTAAACATAATTAGGTTCCCCTTACGTCCATTTTTCTGCTATATCTTCAGCAAATTGGGGCTTTACCCTCTGCAAGTTAACCCTAACTTCCTTAGGGTAATTTCAGTCCTTCTGCTCTTGAACCGTGACAGGGGTCTCAATCTTGACGTCGTTAACCTTCTCCCCTGCTACTGAATTAACATAATCAAATATAGTGAGAAGTACTATCATTTCTTTCCTATTGAAAAACGATTGATCTGTACGGACAAGAACTCCTTTAAAAAAGGTTGGAGACAAAACTTGATTGGGGTCAGTAGGAATTGGCGGACTCCGTTCTACCAATCCTTCTCTATCCCCTCCTCCTTTGGAGTATGCTTTATCTCTGGTTATAAAAAACTAAAAATACATCCCACTGAATGCCACTGTGAAAGTTGCCTTCCCTGTTTTTGTACTTTTCTTTGTAGATGCCTTCAATTACCTCAAGACGAACTGATTTATAGTGTTTGCAGGGCCAGGCTAGACATCTTATAAGAGAGTGTGCTGAACAACGTCCCTTCAGCTACAAAATTGCTCACTCCTGGTAACCTCTTTGACATCTCTCTCTTAGGATCTATAATGGAGAGCATTCAGATTCTATCTTTCAGCAGGAGGAGGCATTCTGCTCCCATCCTTTTTGCTACTTCTGTTACCATATCTTCCTCTACATCTACAACCATATCATCCACTTTAGCTGTCTCAGTTCCGGAACAGGTTATGACTGTTCCAGTTATAACTCAAGTCGCAGATCATTATGCTGACGGGCCTTCTACATCCATCCCTGCTGAGACCCGTGTTGTGGATCATTCTGCTAAGGCCCATCCTGCTGCTCCCGCCACTGTGCCTTCAAATATCCTGTTTGACACTTCTTCAGAGAGCACTCAGGATGCTGGGGGATCTCAGAACAATGGAGGGTCTCCTTCAGTTAGATTTGGTATGTCAGAGAAAAGTCTGGGAAAAAGGCCAATGCCTGAGGGCGGTCATAACCAGAGTGACGTCCCACCAGCTCCGAGGACCAGGGTGGCTTCTTTCAGGATCACTGAACCCATGCCTCCACCTCAGCTTGTCATTGCAGAGGGTGAATTTGCCAGAACCTCTGGTCCAGCACCACCCGTTCTTTTATGGCGCCCTCTGCTCAGCCGTGAAGATGACTCAACCATTAGCCCTACAAATTCTTTATACCAGGATCCCCTCACTTCTTTTGCTTTCTATAAGGGTTTCTGGACTCCTAAGGATCTTGAAATCCAGAACAAGATGACCTTTGGTGAGATGTACCGGCGGTTCCCAGCAGCTGCCATTGAGGTAACTTTTCTTCTTATTGAGATACGTCTTTTTTCTATTTTAACTATTTAGTGGCTGAACTGACTAGAACCTCCCTTCTTCTGTTCAGACTCTATTCGGGATGTTCACCTTTCAGAAGACCATTGAGGTTCTGAACAAGAAGCTCAAGTCTCTCTCTGCTGGCCTTAAAAGATCCATTGAAGCGGAGAACCGGTTTGAGGCCAAAAACGCTGAGCTTGTGTCTAAGCTGAACGAGTCAGAGAAAGAAACTGCCGCCTTGAAAATTGAGAAGGACGCTTTGGCAAATGATAGGAACGCCCTGAAAACTGAACGGGAGGCCCTTAAGGCTGAACGGGACTTTCTTCAGGATAAAGTTGATGTCCTGAAGACTGAGAAGAACGTCGTCCTGACTGAAAGGGACTCACTGAGGGCTGAGAAGGGAGACCTTCAGCGTAAACTTATTGCTGAACGGTTGACCCATGCCAACTCAAAGGAAAAACTTTTAAATGAACGCTATTCTTTGCTGAATATGATTAGCAAAGTTGAGGGTGGTATGAGTGTGATACCCCTTGATTCTAGAGCCACGGGTGATCAAGTCCGAGCACAGATCCGAGGGATATCAGACAATCAATATATAAACAAGTAGGAATAAAAACTGAATTAAGAATAAAATAATAATGCGCTGAAAAGAATTCTAATTGTAAAAATCCTCCAATGTAAAAGATTGATATAATTTAAATCTTTAAATCTGTACAACTCGGGAATCCATCTAGTGGACCTCTAATAATCCCAACCGATAAATAAATTTACAGAAATAAAATCCAAAACTAAAATAAGAAAGAAAATCCTATGTAGTCGGAAGAGTGAGTATCTGTATCTGCATCAACACGATCAAGCTCTAAGCCTAGTACTAACGAACACCTGAAAAATAAGAGTGGGTCAGGCCCACATGCAAGTTCCAATCTACTACAATTCATACATAAACCCGATACGCCGATACATCCTAGATAGCTCAGCAATATCTAAATAGTCCGTAAATATAAATATACAGGACTTCCCCTGGACTACAGGCCTGTCTCAACC